TACCGCTCGGATCTCGTCCCCTCCCTTTAGCTCTGAATAGGGGCCTCGACTGATGGGAATTCCTGGAGGAGTGGTAGCAGAACTAATACAAGGACTACTCCCAAGCTCTCCAGCGTTGTATTCCTCCCCCTGTTGTGGAATCAGTCGCTGCTTAGCATTCGGTGGGGGAAATCGATGAACTCTGATTCCTATTGGATTTGATATGTCCGGCCCTGGGGGGCCAGGGTACATCCTAAACATACCCCAAGTTGATCTGTGCGTCACTGCTGCATGGGGTTCTACCTAAGTAACTGTTGCCTATCGTATTGGTATTCGCTTGATGACGAGTCTCGAGGTTCTCTTGGTGTCGTTTGTATCATCACTGTTGTTGCTATTGTAATCGTAATGTATGGCTAACTTCTAGGACAACGTAGCTTGAAGGCACGCGAATTTGGGAGAAAAATTAAGAAGATGCCTTAACGAAGATTCGAACCCGGGTTCTTCGATAGATGAGTTGCGCGCTCCACCGCGCCGCCAATCGAGCAGATTACATAGACTCCGGCGTTTCAACTGGATGGGTAGAAGAGTGAGATAGCGGGATCGATAAGGGGTGGAGAGTGGATACCGCACGCCACAGACACTCTGTGTCATCATCAGTACTTTCCCTCGTTTGAGCTAGTGCTGCTCGGCTTCCACCACCTTCAACACGCCTCGCATCCATTCCGACATGTCGAACGCTAAAAACGCCACCACTAACGCTGCCGCCTCCAAGGAGAAGCCCTCCGAGGCTGCTCATGCTGAGGCCCACACCAGGCCCCAGCCAGTCGATCGTGCTTATTATGAGAAGAAGATTGACAAGCTTAGTGAGGAGATCAAGGGTCTTCAAGGCAAGGTGAGAACATCACTACTACTGCATGTGGAAGGTGTAGACTGGCATTCTAGGTTCACGATCTCAATGAGAAAATCCACGGCAAGTCCGAGGGTAAAGATGAGTTCCTCCGTAAGCGCGATCTCCTGAACAGCAGATGGACGAGCAGCAGAAGCTCGTGTCTGATTTGGAG